TCTGCGGTCGTCTGAGTTGCCGAGCTGCCGTGTTTGTCGGGCTGCAGAGTTGCATTGCTGCCAGCTGAGCCACATCCACATCCTGGCTTGTGCTCCTGTTTGCCATAGTCCTTGTTGTCGCTGTCGTCGTCGCCCTGGTGGAACAATTACATGGTTTTTGCCTAATGAATTTATCTGCTCATCAGTATCTCCACTGAGTTGCATGCCACCTCACAGAGGCAGGTCAATGGAACGGAGTGTGTGTGTGTGTGTGTGTCTGGGTAGGTGGTTTCATAGTGAGTATTATGTAGTTTTTCCCCCACACGAGCTATGTTAATTGGCCGATATCTTGCATGTGTTGTTATCCACAGTGCCTAAGCGGAGTTTAACATAAAGGGAATCAACTCGATTTTATCGTAATAAAACGACAAGAAAACGAGAAGGGACGTGTAAGAAGCTTCTTACGCTTCACAACTTTTATACCCGCTACTCAGTACTACATCTGTACCTTATCGGTTTCTATAAAATTTTACATATTTTCTTCATCTATCATCTACATCACTTCCCCCTCCCCTGGAACCACACACTACACGTAGCAGAGTGTGAATGTGAGAATGTGCAAAAAATAAAAAAAAAACTGCTGGACGGGGTGGGTTTAGCCACTGAAAATTAATTTCTTCATTATGGCTATAATAATGATCCAATCTGATCCCATTATAGTCCCAATAATGGCGATAGTCCTGATCACTGATAGATAGTGATATCTATCTTCCCAACGGAATTGCGTTTTTAGTTTTCTTTTATCTTCAAAATTGTGGCTGTGGGAGATTTTCGCCCTTTGTGGTGGCGGAAGGAAGCGAGGCTAATTTGAACAGTGTGAGTATACAGAAGTCTGGATGCAAAATTTGGTGGGTCTAGCTTTTATAGTCTCTGAGATCCAGGTGCTGAACAAGACGGACGGACATGGCTCAATCGACTCGGCTATTGATGCTGATCTAGGATATATACAAATATACATTATAGGGTCGTAAACGTTTCTCTGTGCGTTATATACATCCACTTTGTACGCAAAAAACAATATACCCTATTTACTCTTTGAGTACCGGGTATAATAAATCCAAATGAGCTGGCAATCAACACTGAATTAACAGTCCAGTGTTGGTTGGCGCAAGGCAAATGGAGCGATCCGAACCAGTTCTCTTACAGCAAAACTTTTTCTGTGTCGTGAAATGACTTCTTTGTGTTTTTTTTTGTCAAGAAAACAATAAACAATAAAAAAACAGTTAATATTCTGGTGAACGTCAAATAACATTTAAAATAATTGTAAATAATCATTCTTAGAGATGTCTTCACGTTGTGATCGCGCCGTTACAGTTTTCTCCCCCGATGGGCATTTGCTGCAAGCCTTGCCTTGCCTTACGCAAAATTTGTAAGTTTTACCGTGGTGGATGGTAAAACTTACAAATTTTAACATTCTGTGAAATAAGAGAAGAGATCGGTGGACAAGCTGGAGGTGGATGAAGAAAATTTGACCAAAATTTGAATGCTCGACCGACATATTCTCATGACCTTTGCTGGTATCACTGCCGATGCGCGTTTTCTGATTAACCGTGCCCAAGTGGAGTGCCAGAACCATCGCCTTAATGTCGAGGATGAGCCGTCGCTGGAGTACATTGCGCGTTACGTTGCCCAGCTAAAGCAGAAGTACACGCAGAGCAATAGTCGTCGTCCCTTTGGTATTTCCTGTCTGATTGGCGGCTTTGACGGCGATGGCACGGCGCACTTGTATCCACTTGTAACGGAACCATCGGGTATTTTCTATGAATACAAGGCCAATGCGGTCGCTAGAGCCGGACAGTGCGCGAATTCTTGGAGAAGCAAGTTGGCAGGTCGTCAAGTTGGCAATTTGAGCGCTTCTAGAGGTGGCTCGCACGGGACAAAGCAATCTGGAGGTGGCCATTATGGAGAACAACAAACCACTGAGGATGCTAGACGGAGAAGCCATCCAGTAGTTTGTTAATGTCATAGAGAAGAAGGTAGAGTAGCTCGAAAGAAAGAAGCCAGCAAAGTAAACACAACACACAACTCCTTAAAGATGATCTCTCACTCTCATGAAAACTCTCTATTGGTAAAATTTTGTTGCCTTTAAAGCAATTATCTTAATTTACAGGAATTTTAACATTAATTTACATGTAAAATATATTTTTTACTTTAATCGTGGACTAGGGTTTCACAGATTCTAATGATAAGGATTACGATGTTTGACATCGTAAAGAGTGCTTGGCTCCATTTACATATTAAGTGTTTAGTCTTAATTAGCAGCAAAAATAACTCCAAAAAGAAATAGTCAAACAAAACAAAAAGTCCAGGTTTATCACAATAAAAAAGCTTATAATTGAACTAAGAAGTTATATAATTCAACCTTAAGTACACTTAATTTCATCAAAAATATATATTTCATATAAATTGCTACCGCAATTTCGGATCTCGCACGTACAGTGGCCAAAATCAATGACATGAGGAATGTCTTCCCAGTTCCACCGGGGGCATACAAAAAAAATAAGCCGCCATTTCCATCATCAATTGCATTAATCAGTGTATCATAGACTTCCCTCTGCTTAGGATTCAACTGAGGTACATTCGTTTGAACTGATTGGATTAGTTCATGTGGATCATATTCATGTTCACGTTCCAATTCTCTATTAAATGCGTCATTCATTCCGCGATCTGGCGCTGGCATTCCTAACCTAACTAACAAACTGCCGCACATGAGGTAACACATATCTTCGATCAAGAGCAAAGTCAGGTTATGGATCTCCTCATTCACCTCAAGATCGTAATTTCTTGAGCCGAACAGTGGGATGATGTTCGTGAATAGGGAATGAAAATATACGCCAAATTGCTTCATTGCAGTTCACATATCTACCAACTTGATAGCGCGTGATTTCATCGTTGGTATTGGATATTTGGATACCAAAAACCGCCATGTCGCTCCCTTTCGTGACATATTTGCAAATGTATTTAATTGACTTGACCGAATTGCAATACTCAACATTACAATGTGCTTTGAATGTTTTGGAAAGAAGTGGCGAATATGGAACAATCCAACTGTTGTCAACTACGAAATCGTTTCCTTTCACTTTGGTTGTGACAGTTCTACCATTATCATCGGGCGATCGACGCCGATACAATGGATAACCATCGTTGCCTGTAATGGTCTCTACCGTCAATTTTCGTGGATACCGTTTGGAACACTTGCCGACGAACGGTGTGTTTCATATATTCTTTGTAGTTGTCCAGTATTGCGTCGTGTAAGTACAATATTACGTGTTTCCAAGTTTTCACCAACAATCAGGATTGTCACTTCATCGATTGTTGGAGCATTAAATGTGCGCTCATGTGTTCCAGCTGGTCTTTTATCTGCTCTGATAACAACTTTATAGTCATCACTTGGCATGCGCTCTAAAGCAGTCTTGAACAGCCTGACCAATGCATGATGTTCATGAAGCATTTGCTGCAGATCTTGGAGAATTGCTCTTTTCGTAGCTGTGTTGATCCTTTGACGCCTGTCAAGCTGTTCTTCCATATTGCCCATGAAGTATATTTGCAAGAATTTATGCTGTGCATCTTCTATAGGTTGCAATGATCCAATGCGATGGTAAATCTGGCTTTGAATCTGTAAAGTCAAAACCATAGTTATAGTTAGACTTTATTTTATATATATAGATAAGATTACCTTAAATGTCGGATTATATCTGTGTTCTTCGATAATTTCCGCCCCAAATGAAGTCATTTGGAAACAGACATTGTATTTTTGAGTGTTCGCTAGAAAATGTCGGGATTCTAGTGTTTCGCCATAAAGCAGGGAGCACAATGGCTCTGGTGGCGGGACCAATAATGGCAATTTCACTTTACCACTAAGGCAGCACAAACCAGGCGTTGCACCAGCAGACTTCAATGCTCCACAATGCTGGCAAACAACGTCCATTGGACCAATGCAAACTAAACGATGCAAGCTGTAGTCGATAATGCAATCATACAGAAACGCTGCTCGATTCAAACCATTTCTTCTTGCACTTCGAAGATTATTCATCTGTTCTTCTGTACGATAAGCTCGACGATTTCTCTATCTTTGCTCTTGTGTTTGAGAAGCACGAATTAAGGCCCTTCTTTGCTCCATATTAACGCGGCACTGTTCTCATGTTTCAGAGCTATTCCGTTGCCTAATTGCATTACGGCTTCGCTGGGAAAGATTAGATCTTCTAGGACGCGGCATTGTTATTAAAATGAATAATACAAAATTAAACAAATAAATAAAACAAATATTAAATATGATTAAAAAAATACAAATGAACAACAAATGAACAAATGAACTTTTTAGACAAATTTCTGAACACACACATGATGTCTTCAGGAAAAAATAAAGTTTTGGCTTTAAGGCTGCAACAAACAGGCCATAAGTTGTTTTTAAGATGTATTCTGCTACTCGCGACGGAAACAAATCCAACAAATCAAAAACCATGGCAATCGGTCCAGCCGTTCTCGAGTTATAAGTGCTTTACAAAATACGACTTTCTTTTATATATATATATAGATATAGATAGATTATCCATATTTTAGCAAGTTTTCAAGCCACAAACATTTAACTTTGATTGGGCAGTCGGTGCTCCCATTTTATTAGCATCTTAATAGTGATTTGTTGTCAAACTGTTGGGCTCAGGCAAACGGATAAATTTATAGATTAAGTTTTGCATATGTAGATAATTAATTAAAAGTTGTTGTCCCAAAAAACGATGGAGAGTGCCGCTCGAGTTAATGGCTAGTTACGTAGCGCAAATCACTGCCCTTTGCTTATTTATTTATTCATCATCTGCCGAATCAAATTGTTCTTTCAACTGCGCAATTTCATCATTCAGATATTGATACATTACAATAAGGGCAATTAAAAGATATTGAAAGAATAGCAGCTGTAAGGAAAAATGGTTTAGAAATATGGAAAAATATCTTATCCCCGTGCAAAACTATACCAAAATGAAATGCAGAACATCAAAGCGACAAATGGAGAGAAATTTGTGCTGGGAAGTGTTCAGTAAAGTGCCTTTAACATCCTTAGCCAGAGAGCGAAAACGCTTGGACAACGAACATCTTTTCGATAGAAAGGTTTCAAGGATCTTAAGGAATCCAAGACGCTGTAAAAGAGTGAGAATTAAAGCAGGGGTTAATAGACACAATATTCAGTTACATTTCTCACCTCTTTTTCCATTAAGAATTGAACCAAAAATAAACACAAATAATCCCAAGCAATGCAGGCATAAATGGAGGCATTGGCTGCATAGAAAATTCTCCGTTTGCGATCCTCAAAGAGAACATGCCAGGTTTTTTGATAGTAAATATACGAATAGACACCAAAAAGCAGACAATTTCCGTTCATGGTGACCAGAAACAACAGAGAGTGCTGCATTGCCTCGAAAAAGTCACCGAAACGGGCTATAAGGAGCTGCAATTGTTGTCGCAGACTCTCCAGATTGTCCAGACTGGAATTACTGACAGACACCGTGCAGGATGTAGAAGCCATTTCCACCTCATCTTTCTTCAAGTTGGCACTGAGGGCCTCCTCCACATTCGTTTTGATCTCCTGCAACTTGCCACGCATTATCCAGGTCAAAATGTTGTACAATCTCAGCGAACCGGCAAGACAGAGATGTGGCATAAAGAGAGCCGCTCCGATCATGGCATCCTGCAATGGTGGCAACTCGAATATCATTTCGTAGGCAATGTAGAAACCAAAGCAGAGCAGAATCCCAAAAGTAGACACCAACAGAGCATAGGCCACGGCTTCTTCTTTACGAAATGATCTTCCCTTTCCAGCTAGAGACTCCAGCAATGGGTTGATTACTCCCACTGCTCTCACGGATGAGTATACCGCATAGACACACGCTTTGACACCCAGCAGCAATTGCAATCTTGTCAATCCAAACAGAAATGTGGAGACATTCTTTAGTATTGTTAGCATCGATGAGGACGCATCAAAATGCTGCGCAAAGCAGACTGCATAAATGCATCCCAGTACCAGGATATTGACAATGGCAGGCAGGGACAATCGGAATCGTTGGGTCTTCGAGTCCATCCAATAAATCTGATAGCCAGACAGCATCAGCACAATATTTGTGGCCCTCAGCACACGTGAGTTATTCATTTCGAGCTAAAAACAGAACTGAAATTAAAGCTGAACCAAAGCTAAGTTACCTTTCCATTTGGGAGGCCTTTATCTGTCCATCGCAATGTGACGAATTATGAACAGCAAAGCGTGAAGTGTGCACACTGCAACAAATAGTTGTAGGAGATATTTAGTTGTGAGGGAAACTTTTACTATTATGTTTGGGGTCACCAAATTGTTTTTTCTTGCATTTTTAGTAAATCAAGAGTTTCGGATTATAACAGAATAACAGAATTGGGTTCCCGAAAAGTTATTTATATTTCAGGATAAGATTCAAATAATATTTTTGGGGATTTTTGGGAAGTCAACAAACTGTGTTTCAGCTGGTTAGAACTTTTACCCTTACATTTACATTTTTGAATTTAGCTTATTCATGCTGAAAATCCGCAGTAACCATTTATATTTCAACAAAAATTACGACTGTTGAACATTTTTTATACCCGGTACTCGAAGAGTAAATAGGGTATATTGTATTTGTGCACAAAGTGGACAAATAGATATACCTATTTTCTTGATCAGCATCAATAGCCAAGTCGATTTAGCTATGTCTGTCCGTCCGTCTGTCCTTCCGTCCGTCTTGTTGAGCGCCTGGTTCTCAGAAACTATAAAATCTGGAGCCACCGAATTTAGTATCTAGATGGCTGTATGCTCTCAACGCTACAAGTTTATTTAAAAATTTCGCCCGCCCCCTTACGCCTCCGCAAATCGCGGAAATCTGCGGGATCCACAGTTTTGAAGATACAAGAAATCTAAAAACGCCATTCCGTAGGGAAATACCTTATCTATCAGATCTCAGAATTGGGATCCGATTGGATCATTATTATAGCCAGAATGGAGAATTTAATTTGCAGTGGCTAATTGCCAGCAAATGTTTAGCTTTTTGCACATTCTCTCATTCACACTCTAATTCGTGTAGTATGCGGGTTTAGGGGAGGGGGCGAGCTAATAGAGCCTGTTGGGGTGAGAAGTTATGTAGATGTAGATGACAGATGAAGAAAAAATTTTAAATTTGATAGGAACCGTTAAGGTACAGATGTCCTACTGAGTACCGGGTATAAAAGTTGCGACGCGTAAGAAGCGTATCACATGTCCCTTCTCGTTTTATTGTTAAATTAAATCTTCAAACATAAAAAAAAATTTCAAAATTCACACTTTCTAATGAATACGAACAGTTAATTACACAGATATCTTAGAACAAACTACACCCTTCTAAAGAATTTGAAACAATGAAGCAGAAGAGTCTTAAGAAGTTTACCGCTTCACAACGCACCGCACAAGTGCCTGTGTTGGCTACAGCATCGCGTGCCAAGTCAACAGGTTGAGTTAGAAAATTATAAATTCCCCGAGTTAAATCCATTTAAAAATTTTTTTTAGCTTCATTCCACTCCCACTGCTTACTTGGTTAATTAAAATGTGTCTCTTTGTTCAAAAAACGTGACGGCACCTTAACAAAAGAAATGAAAACTACTCGGTTAAACGGAAGGCATCTCGCAACTATGCACCTACCGGGAATTGGATGGGGGTCAACACCGAGACAGTGTCAACAGCGAGATAGCGCATGGGACACAATTTCCTACTGGAACAGATGTGTGAGTGTGGGTGTGTGGGTTTCGTGTCAACATTTGAAATTAGAAACAATTAAAAAGGCAGCGCGGACTCAAATATTTGCACATTTGCACAACTGTGTAAAATCTTAGAGACATGAAGACAGCAGCTGCTGCTGTTGGTTATGCTGCGCTTCTTTCATCTGCCACCTCGCGGCTGTTGACTTTTGGGGTACACTTTAAATAGAGGACAAACAGTGCGTGAAGCAAATTAAGATCCGATGGCTGCCTCCTGCTGATGTTCCCTCCCCTCTAACATCATATTTCAGTTTTTTAAATTTAAATTCCTAAACAAAGGCACTTACCCATTCTTCATTTTTCACTCCTCCTCCTGCTCATCCTGCTTCTGGTTCTCCATCATTCTTCATGCCCGTATTTCATTTGCAATTTGTACCTTTTGTGTGGCTCCCTCTCAAGAGTCATAATTCAATAAATAAATGCAAGGCTGACATGTGGACAGGCCGCCAACATATCGCATCGAATGCACTCAAAAATTGTGCACAGGATCTCGCTGCTGCCTTGTGTCCCCAGAAAAAATGAAGTAAAATTTACGGCCACTTTTTGGCCGAGAAAAAGTATAACAAAGCGACCGAGCCGAACCGCCATCACTGGAGCATCCTGTGATTATATGCAATCATTTGGTGTGGGTTTGGTGCTCCAGGACACGTTCAGGACAGCGTACAGGTATTGAAGCACTGCAAATCTATTAACGCAGCAGTCAGGCTGCAGTTGGGCAGAGACACCCACTTTGGTCATGCTGTTGGCTTTTGATGGAGGCAACCACTGTTGCAGTCACTGGTTGGGCATGGCATGTACATATGTATGTACGTCATAAAGTGTGGGAGCATGTTGCATGTAAATGATGCGCATTGGGGTAAGTCAAATGTGATTGTATGGGAAACAATTTGGGGATTCAATGAAATTTTGAATGATTTTGGAGTATAAAATCCAATTAACCAATTAACACAAAAACTCGAATTTATATGGAGAAAATATGCCTTAAAATTTTAATTTTCATTTTAATTCCGGAATTCCAACCAAAAACAACTATTGACTAACCCTAATGTGTAGATTTGTCGTTTACGGGCTTTGTTGCATGACTCTTCCTTCTCTTCCTCTCCGTTTTTTTATTATCCATTTGGCTGCTACGCATACCCTGATGATGATGATGATGATGATGATGTGGATGACGATGATCCAGTTCCAGTTCCACAGATCCACGGCCTGAGTCCACGAAATTATGATGCATTTTTATGGATTTTCAATGTTTTTGCTTTGGTGCAGTTTTTTCTCAACTTGTGGGGGTGGCAAGGATTACGTTTCGTCAATGGGCAACCCAAAAAGAGCTAAGGGATTTTTTGTGTGTGTGTGCGGACTGCTTCCGGGCAGCTACGTGTTTTTGTTGTTGGATTGGCTGCTGCCTCAACACTGATTTATGCCTGTTGATGGACGACATGATCGGGCAATGGGCGAGCGGCGATGCAAGCATCGGGAGTGCAACAGAACAACAACAAATAACACAAAAAAAAACAGCGTGCAAAATTGAGGGCGAATAAAAATTTATGCATTTTCATTGATATGCAAAGCGTTGTTGCAGCAGCAGCAGCACCATCAAACCCCGTGGCAGAGACAGCGGCACAGTCAAAGATGAAGAAGAGAAGAGCTTGTGTGCTCGTTTCCGTTTCCGCCGCAATGGGTATCGAGTTTGGTAGGGGAAAGGAAACTGGCATTGGAGGTGGCGGTTATGTCGACATGTTTGGCGTATTGTCGAATTGCATAATATGCACTTTTTCATCGGCCATCCGCCAAAAATGTACAGCCCTACACATCCATTTATTGCCCGACAATTGTCCCCTGAATCCTCCCAAACAACCAGCCAGCCAACCAACCAACAATGGGAATGCCATCGTCGACCATCGCCCAATGGATTTGTGTCTATGTCCATGGATATCCTGTCCTGGTGCTGGTCCTGGTCCTGTCCTGGCTCCGAACAGCTCTGAGTTATGAGTCGCAAGCGAATGTTTCCTCGCTGCAACTCACAGTTTTCAATTCGTTTCGGATTCCATCAGCGAATATCAATAAAATTTCAGAGAGACACACATCCTTTGGACACATCAGCGATATGCTGCCGATATCCATTGTCGCCAATTCGTGTGAAAAATTATGTTTTTAATATTTGACAAAAACATGAAAAATGTGAAAACAATAATCGTAAATTTTTATTAATAGCAAGAAAGAGTCCAAAAACAAACACAAACAACAATGTCACAATATCAAACCAATTGTGCGTTTTTTGTGCTTTGAAAATATGGCAAAAAACGTGCACAACGTGATTGTTGCGGAAGTGACTCATCAATTGACAGGAAAAAAACGGATGCAAGACTTGAAATGTTTCTATTATATTTACTTTGTAGGCAGAGATGTTGGCCCATATTGGGTTGGGCATTAATTACGCTACCCGACAAAATCTAACTTTTTTTCACACCTTTTTTCTAGACTGAGGGCTTAACATTTTTGTTATACTCGGTACTCGAAGAGTAAATGGTATATTGTATTTGTGCAAAAAAAATGTAACACACAGAAGGAAGCGTTTCGGATCCACCAAGTATATGTATTCTTGATCAGCATCAACAGCCGAGTTTATTTCAGTACGTCTGACTGTCCGTCCGCCATTCCGTCTGTCTGTCTTGTTTGTCGGTTAGTTCTCAGAGACTATAAGAGCTAGAGCTACCAAATTTTCCTTCCTCACTGCTGAACGCTCACAGTGATACCATGTTATTAAAAAATTAGCCCCGCCCCCTTCCGCCACCCAAAAAATTACAAAAATCTGCTGTATCCAAAATTTTGAATATAAGAGAAATTCCGTAGGGAATGACCATATCTATCTGATCACCGAATTGGGATTAGATTATTATTATTATCATTATTATAGCAAGAATGAAGAAATTAATTTGGAGTGGATACCCCCACTCCGTCCAGCAGCTTTTTTTATATTTTTTCAAATTTTCTCATTCCACACTTTGCATCGTGTAGTGGGTGGCTCTTGGGGAGGGGCGACCTAAAAGAGCGTGGTGCCGTGAGAAGTGATGTAAAATATAAAGAAAAAATGTATAATGTTAAATGTACAATTTAACAAAAAACACTAAGGTACAAACGTACTACTGAGTTTCGAGTATAAAAGTTGTGACGCGTAAGAAGCGTCTCAAACTTCCGTCCTCGTTTTTTGTTTTGTTTTTTTGCATCATCAACTGGCAATCCCAAACAAACGATTGCATTCCAGAGGATCATCTGGCGGAATTCTTTTTCCTTAAAATATGTAAAGCTACCCCAGGGAGACAGTGTGCTGTAGCGAGTACAAGAAATCTTGCAGCTGCCTTTTGGGGTAT